ATGTATGGACAGTAACTGAAATGAACTAACATCAAATATAAAATACACATGCCAATTTCATAATGCATGTAAAAAGCCCAACATACACTGAGCAACTTTGTTGCCAGTACCTTTTATGTGGTGAGGCAACTTGTTGCCAGAAGTTGAGAGTCTCACTACTTAGTACTTTCTGCAACATGTTGCCCAGTGTCTGTATAGCTCCAAATTTTTGTTGGCAAAAATTTTTGTCAAATTTGTCAAAATATTTTTGTTTGACAAAATTTTTAACTGACGAAAATTTGTTCTGCGTGGGTAGTATACAAATTAATAGCAAAAATGACGAAATTTTTTTCACAAAATTAATTTTGAAAAAATTTTTGACTGACAAAAATATGGAGCTATACGATAGTTGCTCAATAACATCAAAGGTCTGACCACAAGTTGCCAGCAACAAAGTTGCTCAGTGTATGTTGCTGGGCTTTATTGTATCTGGTTCAATTGTGAATACTATGTTATGACAAAATTCATGGCATGTAATGCATTTCTCTAAAAATACAATAAGGCTCAAAGAAAAGAAAAGTCCAAGTATGAGTAATGAAAGGGCACCTTTATGGTGAAACCCTAAAGCTGAGCAGCATTGTTGCTTGCCAACTTAATTGTGGTTTAACTTTAATGTGATTGGGCAACGTTCCAAATTTAGTTTGCATACACATATCTGCATGCATGATGTATCAGAGTATAGTGTCTGCTATGATTATCTGTTTGAAGTTTGAACAAGTTGTGTAGCCTGAATAAGCATGTATTTTGGCACACTGAAATGATTGCATTTGGTACTGAATATAAAATTATTAGTTTATCCTAAACCCCCAATTTTAAAATCACTGCCAATCTTAATAAAGCTGTTGCATGGAAGTAATGAACAGGGGGGGTGCACAGGGGCGTATCTAGGAATTGGGTAAGGGGGGTGCTGAGGGCGCGCGAAGCGCGCCGCGATTTTGGCCACACCCACTTTTACGGCGGTATAACGGCCTTTTCCTGCATTTTCGTCAATTACGGGTGGGGCCAAGATCATTTCAAGCATACTGCTATGTTACTGGTACTTCTGATTGCTCCTTAAAGCACTAGAAACTGCTGAAATCATGATCAGGGGGCTAGATAACTTTGTTAAGAGGCTTGGTAGTGATGCAATAGTCCAGGACTTCAGTAATTTTTTCTGAGCCCAGCCCTGAGGGGGGTGCTCAAGCCCCCTCAGCCCCCCCCCCCTAAATACGCCTCTGGTGCAGGTATGACTGTCCACCATGTTGGGTGGCAAGAATGTACATGGAACGAATGGAGATGCAGAAACAACCTGGGATTTTCCAATGATGAGATATCATACTTGGCTTTAGAATATTACTGAGAGTTCTTTACACTCAATATCTTCATTTTCTAGCTTGCGTTAGCCTGTATTGTAAACTGCAGAATTTATTTTGATTTTTTCTCCATTCTCCCTATTCCACCATGTACATTCTTGACACTCAAGATGGCGGACAATCATAGCCGCACCCCTGATGATTACTTCCCTGCAATAGCTCTATAGGCTAGATACTAGTAGATGTAGCCAGCATCAAATCTATGATCAGACTTACTATTGTCATATTCTCTGGATCCAAGTCTATCCAGAGATTACTGTGGCTTGATGGATGATTAGGAGAAATTTTTTGGGACAGAGAATCTGGACTAACAGCCTTCTTTTGATGCGAATAGAAAACAGGATCAATCACTAGTAGCTGCTGTTGTTGTCTGCTTGTTGTTTGCGGATCCAGGTAAGGTACCAATAATATCATCACAAAAAGCAGGAGGAAAATAGTGAAAAGGATGCATCTTTTACTGAAGCGTAAGTATAGCCTTGGTATGAGCCAACAAAAGGTCTTACAGTTGTGACACATGCACATTGTATTTCTTCTTCTCTCTCAGTTTGCACTTTCTTTATCAGTTCTGAATTATGGAACGCCAAATCTGCCAAAATTACAAGAAATTATAAACAATAAAAAAAGAGACAGTAGCGATGCGCAAAGCGCATCGCCTCATCAGTGTTATTATTATAATTATGTAAACTAATCAGGTCACGTGTACAGGCTGTTGATAATACATTAAATTGCATCAAAATGGTGAAAATCAAGAAGAATTGTGCTTGATGAGCTGTGTTAATTTTTTGCTGCCTGTCCTAAATAGTCTAGCTTATTCTCATGAAGAAAATATCAGAGATCATGATAATTTTATCTGGAATATGCACCTTTGACAACAGTAATTAAATTTTCATGCAACACTAACCCCTCGAACTCGTGCTCTTTACATTGTCCTTGCTCTTGATGTTTTGTGTCTCCTCCTACCTCTAATTTTCACCCTAAGTAACAAATTTAACTTTATTATTGCTAATTAATTTTATGCTGGCTGCCTGGGCATGTCCCAGGTTGACCACCAGTGCTAAACTTCATTAACCTACCGGTTTGCATTTTATCTTACTTTATTTTTATGTCAGTGCTGGAAAGTTGTAAGTAAATAAATAAATAAATAAGAAGAAGTCGTAGAGGGAAGATCAATCAAAAAGTAGATCTTGAAATTGATGCATTAATGAGGTGATGTGCTTCACACATTGCGACTGTCTCTTTCCGTTTATAATTTCTTGTAATTTTGGCAGATTTGGCATTCCATACTGCACTACCCTAAATACGTTGAGCAATAAGACCAATGTGAGCCCCGGTGACCTCGACCTCTTCCAATAAAGGCAATTCACTAGGCTGTGGGAGGGTATATGAGTGTGCATGGGTGCTGTGATGAGGGATGTTTCGATCTCAGAGTCTCAACAACTGAGACCAACCCCT